ACTTTGTCCAAAACAGCAGATTATGAATATACAGATGTAATGTAGTCCTTTTTTTTTTTTTTTTTTTTTTTTTTTTTTTTTTTGTGCAAGTGGATGGGTTTCAGTCTAGTGACAGGGAAGTAGGGAGAGGTAGGGGAAAGAGTTCAGCATCCTGACAGGCTGATTTATGAAGCTGTTTGTTGTGGAATAGGCCTGGAGGCTTTGTACCTTCTTCCTGAAGTGGGAGTGTGACGGGTGGTTGGCATCGCCAGAAAAGCTGTTGGCGATGCGGATGTTGAAAATGTCTATGAGGGAGGGCACCAGCGATCTTGCTTGCCGTAATCGCTATGCGTTGCAGAGTCTTTCGGCAGGAGACTGTGCAGTTTGCAGTCTGGGCTTTACATCATACAGTGTTGACCTGGTAGAGAACATGATGGGAGGTGGTGGTCAAATCAGTTTTCAGAAGAAGTAAAGGAGTGTTTTAGCCTTACTGGTCAGCAGTGTGGTCTGGTCCAGTCTTGGCCAGGTGTCTTTTGAAAAAGAGACCAACCTGATGTAGTCAAGGTTACATTAAACAAGGAAAGACAAAAAAATGAGGTCCTTGGAGCTGGAGGTGCATCTGGTTTAAGAATAAATTATCGAAGGATAATCTTGTTTTTCATGTATCCGGCTGAAGTGTTTCAATCCGCACATCAGACTATTGAGGATTAAGATTTTTGAGGTAACTGCATCATCTAGGGTTCCGCTTTTGCTACGATGACCCAGTTGTTGAGACTTTTGCAAAAGAATGCAAAGATTGCGACGGAATGCAAAGTTATCAGTGAAACATTGAAGAGGGCTGTCACCTTACGTTCTCTGTAGGTAGGCGGCCTACCCAATGTTGTTTTTTAGTATAAATGTGGGCTGAAAATATTTTCCAAAGCAAGTATTTTATCTCACCTGACAACGCTCCCTCTTCAGAAGCACTCTCTACCTATCGGGCCATACCCGGAAAAGCCTGGTCGTCTTTGTGTTTGTGAAGTCTCGTGTTATCATGTGAGAGTTGCTCCTTGGAGGACGAGGTTTTTGACCGATGGTTAAAGAGAATCTTTATGTGTGTGAAGCTGTGTTGAGATTATTTTAGCACTCCACACACAAAACTGTTAAATGCCTACTTTTTTTGGTCTGCCAAATATAAAAAATATCTTTTAAGATTTGAAAATGACTTATGTGCGTACCTGGCCTAACTGTGCATATGAGTGCCATTTTCTTTCTTTTGATATTTTTCGTCAATGCGTGCAGTTTGAAGTGAGTGTTTGCACCGTTGTGGGTGTGAACACAGCTGACTTGCTTCTCAGCGAATGGACGCGACTCCTCTCATTTCCTTTAATTTCTCTTGAGCCAATGCAGGAGATTGATGTGTGCAAAGTACATTTATAAGGAACTTGGGTGAAGGAGTTGTTCCCATTTGTCAACCATCATGACTACCATACTGCGATTGGCTGGCAACCAGTTGATGGTGTACCCTGCCTACTGCCCGAAGACAGCTTGCATAGGTTCCAGCATGTCCCGTGACCCTTGTGAGGATAAGCGGATCAAAAAATGGATGGATGGATGGATGAATACCAGAAGTGAATAAACTCGACTCCTACTTCATAGGTTGATTTCAAGCATAAGGTTCACTCTAAAACTGACTTTATGTAAACAGGATCTTCACATGCACCACGGACTAATTGACAGGCTATTATCATTGAGTATGTTTTTTTATTTTACTGTATTTATTTATTTATTTATTTATTTATTTAGGTGTGACATCATTCATCAATCGTCAGCAAAACTGGTATCACTACTGGTGGAATGTCCACCTCTGTCAGACTTTGTCAATTGGGCTTTATTAAACATATTACAAAAAGTGCTCACATAATTTCTCACTTGAATATCTAAAAGGAATATCAAACTGTTACAAAAGGTCATGGACTTAACCATGCAGACAATAAGTCATAATTGCAGTGTGGGGGACTGCCCAAGTAAAATCAGCTTTGTAGTTTTATAATGAAGGAGTCCTAATTCAGACAACAGATGCTGCATTGCATTTTAAATCAAATTTTAATTGAAACATGGAGATGCATAAATAGTCCCATTTAAGTGTTTAACAAAATCATCATACGAATTAAGTGAAACTTAAAATGAACATTTGTCAAAATGAGCTCCTTTATTGGGAGCTTTGCTTTCAAATTCCAGCAGCACCTCCATCAAAGAATTGTTTAATAACAGGGTAGTTTTATCCCCTTGTATTCATGTTTAAGGATTGACATTGAGGTTGTGTCACGGCGAGTGAGATGGCCATTTCATGTTTTTTTAGATGGGCACATTGAAATATTAATAAGGGTCATGGGAAAGGAAAGGCCGTCTTTGAGACTGAATATTTGAAGAGAACCTGCACCTTCTGCAATAAAGACAGAAGAGGAAGAGGAAAACAATATTTGGACTCTTTTTTTCTTATGATGCAATGTCCTCACAAACTTAATTCGATGAGAATTGATTAAAAAACAACCTACCGTATTTATTCCACGTTATCTGATCATAGTTTCATATCAGTGTTCGGTTGTGCAAAAGAGAGCAGAAGACAGAAATTAGAGATATTGTGACATGCATTGTTGGATTTAGTTAACATACATGTCAGAAATGTGGGATGCTTTGATAGGAATGGCACGTGGCCATCGTGCTAAGCATCATATAGCCATGAGGCTAATGTGAGGCAAAATACAAACTATCTGCTAAAATTAGACGTTTTCAACTATTCCAGGTCAAGTGAGGAGGGCCCCGCCAAGGGCCCTCCGTCATCTGTCAAAACAAATCGCTGATGCACATCGTCATGTGTGAACATGTTATACATCTTTTAAAAGCTGAATTTCTGGAGATTTGAATGGTACCGTACATGTTACAATTGTCAAGTTTGAACCGAAGCTTGGGGAGACTTAAGCTTTGATCCTGTAGTGTTTTCAAGTCCTAATCAACATTCGAAATCCATTTTCAAGGCAGATATTGTGAAAAGAAATTAGACGAACATAAGATTCGCCTTTTTTGTCTGTTTTCGAACATCCATAGTTCAGTGACAGGAGCACTTACACAGATTCTTACTGTACAGGAGAAATATTCATAATGTGACATTTTGAATATTTCAAAAAGTGACCAAAACTATGCTGATACTCCAAATGGTTCAAGAATAGCTAAAACTTTACTTTAGGTGCACCTTTCCATCGGCGTTTTTGGCAAAGTTGCCCTCGGTTTAAAAACTCAAACAATCTTGGTTTTATTTCTGCTCGTCTTGGCACACTAGCAGTTAGATGTGTTTGAATTGTGTTGGGATCGTAGTTGTTTATGGCGGCCACTTTTTTTGTGATTGTGTTATGTTTTTCAGGAGGTGCGGCCCTATGATATGCATGGAAGGTTTTGCCAAAACCTGTGGGTTTTTTTGCCACTACATCAAAAGTTTCTCTCTGACTAAAAGAAATACAATACAGTACATTTAATTAATAAGACGACATCCACCGGTCCCACAAAACTGTTTGATTTGAATTTGGAGAATATTAGATGACTAGATTTCAGCTCATGATTTTTATTTACTACTACATCTCGTAGTTGTGTTTAACTTGCTTGGTGCTATTATCTTGAATTCACTCAACATTATTACATTGGATTTATTAATCGTTAAATGTAGGAAAGATAATTACATTGAAATTATTAAATGTCATCATGTTGCATTTACCTGGCATTGTTAGATTTAATTCACCAATGATTGTTAGGTTGAATTTACTAACCATCATTAATTTGAATTTATTTAACACCATTTTGTTGCATTTACTCACATCACCGATGTTAAATATACTTGACACACATTTTTGTGGTACTGGCTTTAAACAAATTCCACAAAAGTCAATTCATGGTATTCATTTATTTCAAATAACAGGCCAAAACAAGCCTCAAGTTCTTTGAGTGTCTGACTGCGTATGTCTGCCTGTCTGACTCTGTGTCTGTGTTTGTCTCCGTGGCTTTCTGTAAAATATCCATATGTAAACAAACAAAATGTGCTAAGCACTGGCCTTAAATGATTTATGTGTTTATATGCATCTGTTCCTGTCTGACGACATCAACGAAAATCTGCACAGCGCTCCAGACCATACGTTCGGTTCAGTAATGGAGGCCGTCAGGTGGATGCAAAATGCGGTGTGACAAAGTTGATTTTCTTAAGTGACTATGTCACCTACATTTCATTAAACAATATTCAATATTCCCTTGTTATTATTAACATAGCTATCATTTACTGATTCGGAAAAAGCAAACCCACAAAAAACAAACACAATTCGGTCTGGTCCTACCGTTTCAAACTTAGCTTCTCCTCCCAATCACGTGATGGAAATCCATCTAGTCATTCGGAATCGCTACTGACTGAATGAAAATTCTAATAAGTGGACGCTAGGATTTCGAGCAAGCTCACATGCGCATATGATTCATCATCCCCAAAAGTGGCAAAATAACACTTTGGGGGATTTTGACCATTGTTGGAAAGATGATGAATTTGAATACAGTCACGTTGATGTGCAGATATGAGTCCCAAGAATAAGCTGACCAAAAACTCAATGTCTGTAGGCATGACACACTTTTGCATTGTAACCGAATTATCTAACCAATGACTCACATTGATATGGAGGAATAACCGTCAGCATCGTACAAAGCACGGTGTCTGTCTTCCTGGCCATATTTCTCTCCTCTTTTCTTTGTCTTTGTGCCGCTCCCCTCTCTGAGCCTCTCCGATTGCAGTTCAAATTGCATGCCACATAAAATAGGGCTGTGAGTGCAAGTGTGTCTCAGTCTGCTCCCTCTTGCTATTCCCCCACCTTTCTGATTCATGTTCAATGAATCTCTCGTCAAATGCAATACCCAGAATGGGTACTATCTGAAATGGACATCAAAACCTCTGCCATTATCACTGACCTCTCTTTTTCTTTTCTCTCTCCCATCGACTCTGCAATCATTTAAAGGAGGCAGAGGTAAGTTGGTCCATTATCTTTGTAATATCATAATTCAGAGGTATGTCGAAACTCAGCAGGCCCTGCGGTATTATTCCGGCCGGCTCTTACAATAAGGCTGGCTGTAGAGCTGGAGAGGTGTTTTTCATTTGAGTGCAAAACAGATTCAGCCTCAACCATTAGAGAAATAGTTCAATTCCAAGGATGATGTCCATCAACATTTAGCATTATTATGAAGGATCGTTAGCTATCGGTCAGACACATAATTTCCTTAATTGAGTGAATTCCCATGTTAGCGCTTAATAGAGGGAACGTTAATTTTACTATGCCTTACATTAGTGGTTTGGATCATAACATTTTTGGGACGTGATGCGATTTACTCACCAGCTGCGTTCGTGAGGTCAGACAACATTTGAAAGGGTGTTGAAGCGCGGCTCATTTGGTTTCTCTCATCCAAAAAAGGTGGTGAATTTGTGGAGCAGAATGGTAATACTTTCTCGGAGTTAGAAAAACATGGCTCCACTACCATGCTATAAAATATATGGACTTTACAATTAAGAAGTTTCCAACTTTCCAACACATCTCCAACAATTATTTTATTGCATCTTCACAGACATTAATGTTCCTCTGGCCAGTGTCTACCTCTGCAAGTAGCGGCCTTTTACTTTGTAAAGTAAAACCCTTAACGGCACTAAAAATGATTTAAATAAATACCCACATGGCTACTGCCACTGGTACAACAGTGGACTACTCTGGAAAGAAAAAAAAAATGTTCACTGACTGCATGGTAGCTTTCAAAAAAAAAATACAGGTGCACAAATAATGCGAAACAAACCTCACTTTATATAGTTTATGGCTGATTTGAACCCAAAATAAGCGGTTCTGAAAATAGATGAATGGCTATTTTTTCAGGCAATGGAACCTAGATCATACTGGACGATTTTGTGCGAAAATATTTTGAAAAAAATCTGGAATTTTGACTCAAGGTTGAAGGCCTTAGTGTAAACTCTAATTTAAAGACATCCTATTCTATAGGTATGAATAATTCATTTGTAATTGTGAGTGGTGGATGTAAAACAAGCGTGTCGGCCTCACAGTGCAGAGGTGCAGGGTTCAATTCCGGCTTCGGCCTGCCTGTGTGGAGTTTGCCTGTTCTCCCCGTGCCTGTGTAGGTTTTCTCTGGGTACTCCGTTTTCCTCCCACATTCCAAAAACATGCGTGGCAGGTTGATGGAACACTCGAAATTGTCCCAAAGTGTGAATGTGAGTGCGAATGGTTGTTTGCCTTTGTGTGCCCTGCGATTGGCTGGCAATCAGTTCAGGGTGTCCTCCGCCTACTGCCCAAAGATGGCTGGGATAGGCTCCAGCACCCCCCGTGGCCCTTGTGAGGAGAAAGCAGATCGGAAAATGGATGGATGGATGGATACGTTTAATGAAAACATACACCGTATTGTCCACACTATAAGGCACTTTGGTGTTTAAGGTGCACCTTCAATGAATGGCTTATTTTAAAACTGTTTTCATATATAGGGTGCACTGTATTGTAAGGTGCGTAGTCTAATAGTGGCTGCGGTTGCGTTATGGTTGCCAGCCGATCGCAGGGCACACATTGATGAATAACCTCTCGTGCTCATAATCACACCTGGGGAGAATTTAGAGTTAGTCAGTCGTTGTGGATGTCCATCTGTCACATGTGAGCGGCACTGTCTGTTGACTAACTTCGACAACTCGAAAACCTCTGTCTTTATCTTCGGTGAAGCTACTTGTGACATCTGTTTTCATGTTGGTATTTCATATCGTGGTTCGAGTATCTGTACCATCTTCCTCAACCGTGGCTTTTTCATGAAACTATGTGGTTGAATGTCCCGACAAATGAATGCGGGCAGAGACCCCGTTATCTTCTGTGCCCACACAGAGCTCGGTGGCAGTTTAGCGGCAAATTTTCAAAATGACCCGAAATGACTTTTAAACTCTAAAGTAGAAGGGGGTCACTTCAGCTTGCTACTGCTTGCTTTTGTCCCCGTGTTGTTGTCTGGTTGAACACTGCTTTCATCCAGACAATGCGAATCACATTCAAAGCGTCCCCTACTGGGCAGGAGGCAAATCGATTCAGGGCATTTGCTCAATCAATATTGAATTGTAGTTGGAAGTTATTGAATCAATACTGGATTGCAAGAAGTATTACAGTGCACTGATGAATCGTTATTTTTACCCACCCCTAATTCTTGGCCAGGTTCTTTGTTGTGGGAATTGAATGTGTGTTTTTATTTTCATTTTATAGTAGCAAGAAAATATCATCTTAGTTGTGTTGACATTTATTGGAGTTATAAAATAATAACTACACTTGTTAACTACTCTTGTCACGTGTGGCTCCTAAAAAGTATGATCTTTCCTATTTTAAAAATTTCCAATCGAGTCCATTTGTTTTTAATGCATTAAAATGGGAGTTGAAGCCAAGGAATGTGAAGTCCCCTGTAGGGGATGCACTGTTTGCCGGTTTACAAAATGTAATGTTCAACAGTGTGTTCTAACATAAATTTTCATGTTGTGTTTCCATTCAGGATGACTACTTCAAAAGCTGGGCACCTGCCAGGTCTCTAGACCAACGTGAGTCTTTGATATCAGCGGAATATGGAATTCAAGCTTGACTAACTATATTTGTAGACACTTTCAAACATACTGTTGTTAAGCTTAGCTTAAGACAAGCACAGGTCCCGCAGGCAGACACAATGATCTCAGTTCTGGTTTATTGTTCGGGCAGAGTGACAGGTCAAGGGGGCTACAACCACAGACAGTCAGAGAAACCAAACCAAGGTGTACTGGAGAGCTGAGCGCGACAACTGGGCAGCAAAGCGTATGCCAGGGAAGGTAGCTGACAAACTGGCAACGGGTGGCTTTTCAGTCGGGCCCTTCCGCTGCAGAGGAGAGTGTGACTGACGAGGGGAAGACTGGCAGGCGTGTTGGTGAGACAGGCACAATGATTGGGGAGATGCCCGGCCCACACTGAATTCAGGGAAAGGCAACCGAAAACAGAACAGAGGGGCGGGGCACACGGTGGAACACTGAGGACAGACACAATGTATTCTAACAACTGTAGATTTGTCACACCATTTTGGATTTTCAGTATACATTCTTAAATTTAAAAAAGCCACAGGGATACGGGTATTTTGCGGCTTAACACACAACACCGACGGAGCATATGCTGGACTACTGTGTAATAGTCTGCACACAATAGAATGGCATGGCAAGATGGATTTTTGGCTTTAACAGCATGTTGTACACACTTACTACGAAAAGAAACATTTAAGCCTTTCATTTATTATCTGCAGCTCACCTTTCCACAACACATTTGATACAAATGTCTATCAATATTTAAAATCAAGTCTTTACAAAACTTAATTTTGGCTTTATTTAATTTTGTGTACTGTTTGTAACCAAGTGGTTAAACTGCATCTGATCATGTTGTTGCTCGAATCCATAAGGCATTGTTTCAGGATGTACCATCATTAAGACTGGTTTTTAAATTATCATGTTATAATATGTTCAAAAGTATGTCATTGCCAGGAAAAGCATACATTGTGCTTTAGCATACCATCCAAACTGTAGCGTATAGTGTTATTTACGTGAATAGAGTAGAAATTTGGTGCGCTTCGATGATCAAGAAATGATGTTTGTTTATTAGTTTGAAACAGAAGCAGGTCTTTGATAGTCAACAAATGGACATCGACAGTTGTTGATTTGTGTTGACCATGGCTGAAATCTTTTTTTTTTTTTCTGTACAACTGTATACTCAGCCCCGCTATTCCTCACTGCCTTCAAAGCTCTTGAAGCTTTATCGTGACTTGGTCATCAGTACCTAATGTCTGTTTAGCATCAGATGTCATGCCACGCTTGTGGAGTTTAGATTATGCAATTAAGAAGCTCAAAGTGTGTGCACGCGTATGCTTGTGCGTGCCTCCACCCAAAACGGATTCAGTTTTTGCAACACACTCAAGTCTGCTACATCAATCACACTGAAGTGTTTAATGCTCTTAGACCTCGAGTAACTCTTGACTAAACTCAATTTTTTTCGACATTGGCTCATTCTTTCTGACACACCCACAAATGACAAGACTGATTGGATTTCATCTCTTGGAGCAGCATTAAAGAAATTTATAGGTATGCATATTCACTACAATAAAAGAACGACGTGCATATTTGTTCGGACCAGCTTCCTTCAGATATGGTGTCAAATAAGAATGTTATTAAATCACTGTCAATTGGGGAATTACAGACGCTTGTCAGAGAAATAAAAGATAGAAACGGAATTTCATTCTCATAACCAGGGACTAAGAATTTAATCACAAACCAAGACTTCTGAAACTCATGTCACAATTGTCAAGTGATATCGAAATACCATGCTGAATGTGTCTCATTGCAGAATTAAATTTCTATGACATATATATTTTTTTAACATTGACATGAGATGCAGTTATTAGTTCAAAACCATTTTTACCGAATTCTCGAGGCCAGGCTCCAACAACCTGTCCAGCATAATCTTTATTGTAATTTTGTTTACTATGAATTATACATTGTTTTTATGAGAATCACAACCCCTGCTCTAAAAAAAAACACCTAGCCGAAGGAAAAACAACCAATCAGTGACAGAAGGCGTGACCGACGGTGTGCCAATCATTATCCGTGCCCTTTCGGGCACACACCCCTTGGGCTCAGAAGCTTTGCTGAAACTATGGCAGAATATCCAGCGTGTAAACAACCATGGTCTCCTCTTCTTGGCAACTCTAAATAACAAATGATGAGCATTCACGTAACATTGCCTCCAATAAAATGTGTGAGTCTTATTTTTAGTTTGCTACTTACAGTATGAAGGAGATATGACGAACATGGGTTTTGTCAGCGACTCAGGGGTGAGGAATTAATGAAGTTAGGCTACATAGAAATCCTGCGAATAATTTTAACACTGCAACCCCCTTTATTTCTTATTTTTTTAATGTTAAATTGTTACTATGCCTTCAAGAAGGTACGATTAATAAAATATCTAGTGTATGTACACTTTTAGCTGCATCTATGCAAAATGACAACATCTCTTTTAAAACTTTCACCATTGAGTATTTTAGTACCTGTGAGGAGCCGACATCTAGTGAACCATCAAAAACGTGGATGTTGTTTGCTCTGCAACAAAACAGTTTTACAAGGGGCAAACTATTTCTTGGTCGCTTGTGATGTTTTGTCCATGTGACAACTACAATTTAATTTTATGGGATTAGAAATATAAAGTAGGTTTTTGTGGGGAGGATAAAGCAACATTCTGTACCAACGTGCCAAAAGAAATGCTCCTCAATCTTGTTTGATTTTTCCATTCTCCTGCAGCACTACAATGCCTCCCTTGCTGCAGAGCTAGTATGACCGTTCTGTTACTGGCACACTCACAATTCCACCATGCAGTTACTCTCATGCAAACAGTCCTCTGGAGAGTAATGGAAAGGAAAACTATTAGGCGGCAAAAGAATAAAGGAAATCAATCTGACAATTTGGGAACAATTGGTACACTTTTGGGCCGGCATTGCTTCTCATGAAGTTAATTTTCACCCAGCCGGTGTGGGACAATTTTCCCTGCCAACTCACAGCCATTGAGAGCAAAAGAGTATTTGTGATACAAGACACAATTTGAAAAATATTGACGTCCTTGTGCTCAACAAAGCCAAACTTGTCAAAAACATTGGTAAATAGTATGTAAATAAGCCAGTAAATCAAGGCATCTGCTATGTTTGGATGTCTAGAAGCTGAAATTACTGCAGAATATTTTTCACAATCTGCAGTGAGTATAAAGTTTACACACATCTCCTCAAATGCCAATGTTTTGTCACATGAAAAATGAGGTTGCCCTCTATGAGCCCTCACCTTATTGTGGTGGAGGGATTTGTGTGTTGTACTGATCCTAGAAGCTACGTTGTCTGGGGCTTCATGCCCCTGGCAGAGTCACCTAACAGGTCCAATGTGAGAGACCAGAATAAGAATGGCTAAGATGAATGAATAAAAATAATGGATTCATTTTACCGTTACCCAGATGTGGGTCAACGGGCTCTCTGTCTGGAGCCAGGCATGGAGGAGGGGCTCAAAGGCGCACATATGGTGGCCAGGCCGGCACGACATGGGGCCTTGCCAAGCACAGCCCAAAAAGACAAGATTGGTCTACCTTGTCATGGGCTCACCATCTCTGAGAGGGGCCAAAAGGCTTGGATGCAAATGGCGGTCCGATCCCCGGCTCCTGTAGCTGGCTCTGAGGATGTGGAATGTCACCTCTGTGTCGAGGAAGGAGCCCGAGCTGGTGTGCGAGGCAGACGTTTCGATGAGATTTATTCGGATTTGCCTTCACACACCTTGGGCTCTGGGACCAGTCTTCTTGAGACATGTTGGACTGTCTTCCACTCTGTAATTGCCCTCTGTGAGAGATGCAGAAAAGGTGTGGGCCTACTTATTGCCACCTGGCTTAGCGCCTGTACTTTGGGATTCACGCCAGCTGACGAGAGGGAAGCCACCTTCTGCCTTCGGGTGGGAGTGGGCAGGTCCTGACTTCAATGCTCACATGGGCAATGACAGTGAGACCTGGAAGAGTCTGATTAGGAGGAATGCCTGCCACCACCACCCTGAAATCAGAAACGTGAGTGGTGCTCTCTTTATTGGACTTCTGTTTTCGTCACGGATTGTCCATAATGAACATGTTCAATCATCAAGGTGTCCACGCACGTGTACTTTGCACCAGGACACTCTAGGCCACCGTTGGATGACTGCCTTTGCGGTCGTGACATTGGATTTGCGTCTGCATTTCGTGGATCACTTGGGTGATCTGGCCTGCGGAACTCCGGCACTGGCTGGCCAAGCACAACGCAGCTTTGGTTGTTGCAAGCGCAACAATTCGGGCACGGGAGGAATTTGGTGAGGCCATGCAAAACGACTTTGAGGAAATTCTGGTTGGACCATTCGACAGGTCATGAGGGGGGGGAACCAGTGTACCATTAACACTGTGGAGAGTGGAGATGGGGTGTGGCTGACTAGGCATGGGCCGGTATTACATTCTGATGATAGGTATTATAGCTGTGAGCAAAAATATCACGGTATCACAGTTTCAAAATTACAGCATTACATGTCCTTTTTTTTGAAGCATTTGGTACATTAAGAAATGTGTGCTGTGTAATGATTAAATTAATAAATAAAAAATAAATGCATATCAACATTCTTAGCAAGTCACACTGAAAAAAATGGTGTGTTGATTTTACCCCGTTTTATTTCATCAGGTGGTTGCACAAAATAAAATCTCGATCCAGATACATTATTTTAAGAGAAAAAATGTATCCAGATCCAGATGCTTTTATTTTGTACAATCACTGAAATAAAATTGAGTAAATTCAAGATAAAACTGTTTCCAGCACACAGTGTCCCATCAATGATGAGCTATTTTTAGAACAGACCCTTGGACTACTGGCACCTACATGTACATGTACGCTTTTTTTTTTGTTTTTTATAAAGGACAGTGCAAAGGCACATGTATAACTCTGTCTGTCTTTCATCTAACCTCCCTCCTCCCACATGCTCCCTTCGTCCACCCT